CACCACCACTACCACCACCACCACCACCACCACCACCACTACCACTACCACCACCACTACCACCACCACCACCACTACATCAACTACCACCACTACATCAACTACCACCACTACCACTACCACTTCCACTATACACTGATAGGCGTTCTCCAAACCTTACTGACATGAGTGTCAAATTTTTCCTAATTAAATAAGAAAGAGTGTATACAATATTTTGCTTGAATGATTTACTCTGTTATTTTTTTTGTGAATGTAAAACTGTTTTTTATGAATTTTCTGTAATGCTCGTAGAACAATGGTTGTAACACGGATTTGTTCAATGTAAATGTCATATTGATAACATTATAAGCGAACAATGTAATATTTCGGGATTTGGGGGTGGGGGTGGGTGGGGCAGGCAAATTTAAGAAAAGTGTAAAGAAGGCAGGGATTTGGGGAGGGGGGTGCGGGGGAGGGAAGTCCCAAAAGAGGTGTAAGGTTACATTTTAACAGCACCATACAAGAGTCACTCTTGACGTGTGGGGTGTGGCCCCATCCCACAGGAACCAGGCCTCCTCAACAACATAACACCTTCTCCTCCCCAAACTTCTCCTAAACTTTCTCAGCACGGTGAGATATCCATCTGATGTGACTGTCGTGGTTTTACCGTTCTCGTCCTGAAACCAGAACGAACCGGTCATGCCCCTGTAGCTGAACACTCTTTAGAAATAAAGTTTTGTGTTTTACTCCAGTTTGGTTGAGATTTTTAAAACGTGTCATTTCTCAACCACGTCTATTGATTTTCTTCCTATTTACTGAGTCGACGACCTCTTGGCTGAATTTTTTTTTGTTCGAAATGTTGTTGAAATTGGTGAAGAGATGACCGAATTATTGCCCTGTTATGTGGGTCTATTTTTAAAAAATACTTTTTTTAACGTCATGTTGACATGGTTAAACTTTTGAGTAAAAGACAATGCAAAAATGCCAGTCTAAAGAAACAGGTTTAGCTAATTGGGCCCAAATCTTGGGGAACGATAAATTATATATATATGGAAGCGCAGCTTAAAAGAGGCTCTGCTCATTGCTGTTGTCACGGATTTCAAGGGAAGTAACTGAGAAAATATGTGCCAACTGTAATTGTTATGATTTTTCGCATGTTACACTCTTCGACAGCTACATAAAAATACTACACAATGAAAGGAGAACTAGCATGCTTGCTTGATTTGTTAGAAAAACTTCTCTTTTGCACAAAGTGAACTTAATAAACGTATGTACATGTGTAAATATTTATGCAAGCAAACCCATGTTTGAAAACAAAATTTAAGGATGGATGATTTAACAAGAACATTCGAATTGCATCCTAGGTCTTCCCCTTATCTTATGTCGACCCTACTGATGTATACGGTGAAACTTCAGAATAGTGGGGCCGCTTAGCAAACCTATTGTGCATTTTGTGATACAAGCACCAAACTTGGCACAAATGTACATTAACATATTGAAATCATTTTCAGATATTGGGCCACTCGGATTTCTCTCTTAATGGCCGCCATATTGGATTTCAAAATGGCCGCCATTTGAAATCTACATTTGCGATTATCTCTGGGTCAAATGCTGCTATTGACTTCATTTTGGTGTCTAAATATATGCTTTCGTGGTCAAGGAATCCAATGGTAGCAATCTGCATTGCCTATTTTTACTAAGTGGCCGCCATATTGGATTTCAAAATGGCCGCCAATTGAAATCTACATTAGTAATTATCTCTGGGTCTAATGCTGCTATTGACTTCATTTTGATGTCTAAATGTATGTTTTTTGGGTCAAGCAAGCCAATGGTAACAATCTGCATTACGTACTTGTACTAATGGGTCGCCATATTGGATTTCAAAATGGCTGCTTTACATTACATGGCAGCTTCTCGATCTACATTCGTCGTTATCTTGTCGCCGTCACATGTTTGGAGAAGCCAAACCCTTCACAGGATTCCCTGGAGGATGCCGAGAAGAATCTGTTGCAACCGTTGCTGCTTGGCTTAGTCAGCATTATCCTAAAGAGACCCAGCATCAAGGACCAGATGGCAGACACTAACCCTGCAGCAATTACCGCAGCCTAGATACTGAAGTTCAACTGCGAAAAACACAAGCGAACACGTGGCACCACATCATCCACCTGTGTCAGGCTCAGTGTTGCACAGGAGACCCCATTTCCAACATACATTGGGATGATGTTGCATGTTCATACACACAAGAAGGAATTGATCGACAGACTGTCACACCTTGGCCTGAGCATCTCTTATGATAGAGCGTTTCAGCTCTCAGCAGAGATGGGCAACCATGTCTGCCAACAATTTTACAGAGACCAAGTGGTCTGACCTCCAAAAGTACGTGGCGAAGAGTTCACAATTGCCACTGTAGATAACATAGATCACAATCCAAGTGCAACAACATCAAAAGACTCTTTCCAAGGTGCCGCTATCTCCCTCGTACAACATCCTTCTTACACTGGTGAAGGAGTAAATCAGAGCACATTCGTTGCTGGAGAATCTGGGGATGCACGGTCCAAGACTGTCGCCCCTTTGCCGCACTATTATACTGATGTACCCCCTGTCACTAACAGCATCAAGACATCGCCTGTTCCAGCTGCTGGAGGAGCGTCTTTGACCAGAGGAGACTTCAAACAGTAGACTGATGAAGAATACCATTGGTTAGGCAATGCAAAACACGCCCTGGGAGACAACACTGGTACAGTGGACAATGAAAACACATCTTGGGCTGCATTTCATGCCAGCCGACAGCAACCAGAGGGTAGAGGCATCTGCCCCACGTCGCTGCTTCCACTCTTCCTGGAAAGTGCCCACACTGTGGCAATGATCAAGCATTCAATGGACGTTGTGAAGAAAGCTGTAGAACACCTGAATCCTGGACAGACACCAATGGTCACCTTGGATCAGCCACTGTTTGCTTTGGCCAAGCAGATACAGTGGAAGTGGCCAGAGAGTTATGGTGAAGACCATATAGTGGTGCTGTTTGGTGGTCTCCACATAGAGATGGCAGTACTGAAAACACTGGGGGACTCGCTGCAAGGAAGTGGTTGGGTGGCAAGCACTTGTGCAAGCCGAGATTGTGACAGCAAGGACAGCCGACTCATTCCTGCGAGCATCTCATGTCTTGCGCACAAGAAGAGCACATCAAGTGACTGCAGCAGCACTGTACATCCTGCAACACCATGCCTACTACCACTACTGTCTGGGAGAAACCAGAGATGCAGAGGACATTCCTGCGTTTGAAGACTGGTGACGCCAGAGACGAGACAACATCTCCCAGTTTCGCTACTGGGCAGCTGTGCTGGAACAAGAACTGTTGGTTCTAGTGTATGTGCGTTCTCTCAGGAAGGGATCTTTGATGATGTACCTCGATGCTCTGACAGAGCTGGTCACAGTGTTCCACGCACTAGATCATACCCACTATGCTAGGTGGATACCAGTGCACATGAAGGAC